GTGCGTGCGTGCGTGCGTGCGTACGTACGTGCGTGCGCGTGTGTGTGTGTGTGTGTGTGTGTGTGTGTGTGTGTGTGTGTGTGTGTATGTGTGTGTGTGCGTGTGCGTGTGTCGCGCATCCTCCTTCCCCATCGTGCACCGCAGCTTCATTCATTCGCGTTCGCATGTCCTACCAGCGCCTATCCGCCAGCGCAGTCCCTCTGCCTAGCCGCCGCCGACGCAAAGTGCGTGTGCGTGTGCGTGCGTGTGTGCGTGTGCGTGCGTGTGAGATAGGGCGCGCCGCCCTCCCCGCCAGGGCTGCTCGCGGCGGAAGCCGACCCGACCCGAACCCCGAGCTCTTCGATTCCGATCTCGATCCGGTACGGTACTGTCCGACACGACCTGGCTTCGGCGTCCCCCCAACGTACTGGGTGCTATGTGTGCGTCGCCCGCCCCCCCCCTCCCAGGGGCGACGCGCGCACCGAGCGATCTTGTAGCGTCTGCGTCGTGGCGGGCGCTTCCTGGCCGTGCCGCCTGGAAAGGATCTGTTACAAGGTTGGCCTACTACGTGTTCGGGTCGGACGCGCGCCTCCGAGGAGGACATCCAGCGCCAGTCTGTCTTTGTGCCTCCCACGGTGCCCTCTCGGGCCTGCAGTGGCCGAGCCTCCGCCCGCGATCCTGCCAAAAGGGCCCGCCCCCGACCCGCACCCCTGCGCTGCATTCGGGCGCGAGCCGATCCGAGCCCACTCCGCGACCCGGTCCAGCCCCTGGCCCCGGCGTTGTGGCGCCCAGGTATCGGGGGCGGGGAGGAGGGGGGGTGATGACTAGGAGGGGGGATATCATGGCGGGGGCCATGATATTTCCCATGATTTCATGGAGCCTCTTCTTGTATTGTTACGTCCCTGGCCCCCCCGCTGGGCTGCGCACGTGCCGCCGGTGATGGTTTGCACCCCCCTCTCTTGGACACTCCTCTCTTGGCCGCTCCCGAAGGTAGACTGTCGCCCTCGCCGAGAAAAGCCCCCCCCGGGCGGGCCCCTGCTGATGCATCGAAGACGAAACAGCGCCAGAGACAGAAGCTTTTGGCGCTCCGCGCGGCTTTCTTGGATCCGCCTTGGGCTCCCCCCCCCGCGGCGCCTCTGGCGCCTCCCCTGGCGCGCTCCGCGCGCCAGGGAGGGGGGTCCAGCGCAGATCCAAGAACTCCGCGCGGATGTTTATGGCGTTTTTTTCTCCTCCTACATCGGGGGAAAACAAACCTACCTCGCTTTTGACCACCCTCGCTTCCAAGAGATACCAAACGATGCCAAATTGCAGCTTGTACTGGTCAGGCCGCTTGACGAGGAGGCGCGTGGTATGACTTGTTTTTGCCTGGAAGCGAAAGCGGGGTAGGTATTTCACGCTCTGACTACAGGCGTCAGCATCGTCCCCGGCGCTCGCCAGCCGCAACGGTGCCATCCTGCCCGACCTGGTCGCCGGGCTGCGCGCTCTCCATGTTGGACCACTGGCAATCGGGCTTGCGGCTCGCGCGACGGCCTGCCCGTCGAGTCACCAGCCGCCCTCGTGCCTCGAGCGCGCCTGAGCCGCCGGAGGGCGAGGGCACCATCCAGGGCGCGGATGCCGTCCTCGTCCTCCAGGACTGGCGCACAGGGGATCCGCGAGCCCGCCTCGGGGGAGCGGCGCCCCATCCCAGCGGTAGCGCTCCGCCTCGCACCGCCGTGGAGAGCCCGGAGCGCCCTCGCTGGCTGCTCTTCGTCGGGGTGCCCTGGGCTTCTTCGCTCCGCGCTCTGCGCGGTGGCTTCCTGTGGCCGTTGACGGAGCTCCTGCGTTCAGGGTGCTCTGGGCTCCCCCCATTTGCATCTCGCGCCTGCGGGTTTCAGGGCTGGGTCTCTTGCGAGGGTTTCTTGCGGCCGCGCCCAGACTGTACCTCTGCGCGCAGTCACGTCGCGGCGTTTGCCCTTGTGCGCTGCGGCCCTGGCCGCCGCCATCAATGCCCGCATCGGGCGCTAATATTTTCTTCTTTTGCGCGCCGCGCTCCGCTGTGGGAAGAGGACGGTCAGGGTAGGTGCGCCATTGTCCTGGTCAGCCTGCGCAGATGCTTGGCGCGCACCCTGGGCGCGATCTCTCCAGCCCTGCCGTGGAGCACCTCGCCGTGCTTGCCATCCCTGTCCTCTCGTGCGCTGTGGGAGTTCATCCCGCCGCCCCTGCTTCGAACGCGGCGCCCCCTGCATGGTGAGGCGGGCCCGCCTGGAGCACGCGTGGCTCGGGGGCCCGGTCCAGTGACTCTGTCCGAAGCGGTGCGCCCTCTCGTGCACCGTGTGAGTTCCGTTGGGCCGCCCCGCCGCCGTGCCGAGAGCGCCCGCCCCTGGCGCACCTCGGCGCGGGGCGACGCCGCCCGCGGCCTGCGGGGCGCGCTCGGCGCCGCAGGCTGCAGGGGCCCGGCGCGACGCCGTGCCACGGCGCTGCGCGGCGTGTCCGCGAGCGCGCGCCGCGCGGGCGACCGCAGCCGCCGGACGCCGCGCGCTCCAAGGCTGCGGCGCGGCGGGCCCGGCGAGCGGCGGTGGTTTCCGAGGCGACGGCAGGGGCGAATGGCCAGGTGCGTGTGTGTGTGTGTGTGTGTGTGTGTGTGTGGCAACTCATGCGTTCAATCCGGGGCGGGAAATTACACACGACCGCCGCTTGGAGGATCAATCGTCGGGTGCCCCGGAGGAAGTGGATATGGACACTCTCAGGCCCCCGGGGGACCAAATGTATGTCCCTATCCGCCGCCCGCTGGGGCACCAGGACGTCGGCTCCCAGGCGGTGGATGTGGATAAGTCCCCGCCTCGCATTCAGGATCGCCGGTGGTCCGTGTCTTCGGCGAGGCTCCCCGACGAGTGCGCGCAGTGCCCGCCCCTGGGCGCTTCGCCCGCAGCGCTGCCTCCGAGGGCGCTCGCGGAGCGCCGTCGCCGCGGGGCTCCGCGAGGTGGCGGCGGTCGTCCCGCCCGCAGTCCGTGCGTCCCCAGCGGCGCGGGGTCCGCGGCGCCGCGTGCGGGCCCCTCGGTTCGCGGGGGGCGCTTGCGCGCCTGCGCGCTGTCGCGCTTCGCGCCCGCGCTGTCGCCGCGTGGTGGCCCCCAGCCGCTTCACGCCGCGCTCCGGGTCAGGTCGGGCCTGGCGCTCTACAGGAGGAATATTCAAAGTAGTATTATTTTTTTTTTGTGTGTGTGTGTGTGTTTTTTGTTTTTGTTTTTTGTTTTTTTTGTTCTTTGTTCATTATATCGAACATTTAATTTAATTGTTATATAGATATACACTTTTTGGGATTATTTTGGGGCATGATTCTCATTTTCCTTACAAGATTCGGCTGTATGGGGGACATGCCCGACCTACCGTTTGGGGGGGGCAGCCCCGCGTGTCCTCCGCTGCTCGACTTTGCCCGCGGCGTGGCTCTCTCGGGGCCACGGCGGCGGGCCGCGCCCGCTGTGCCCCGGGGTGCCGCAGCAAACGCACCCGCCTCGCTCCCTCCCTCCCTCCTGCCTTCCCTTGCTCCCTCCCTCCCTCCCTCCTCCTCTCTCCTGAGTCGTCCCTCCTCCCTCTCCCTCTTCTCGCTCTTTCTCCTTCTGTCGTTCGCTCTCCTCTTTCTCTTTCTCCTCCTCCTCCTCCTCCTCCTCCTCCTCCTCCTCCCCTGCTCCTTTGACATACTTGCTCCGTGGTCGCACCCCCAGACGTGTTGGTGGAGCGGGCCAGGCGTTTCGCTTGTGGTGTCGTCACCATTTATGGGCCTGAAGCTTGAAACATGCAAACGTTTCACGGATGGAAGGCGTGTGGTTTTCAAAATGGGGCTCTCGCGTTAGCGCCGTGTCTAGCAAGTTAGCAGCAGTTTCAGGAATGGAGGGTGGGCTGGTTTCAGAATGTGGTTCTCGTTGTAGCGCCGCGCGCATTCGTTGGTCAATGTTTGCGACCGTTTCACGGGCGGTGGGTGGGTGGTTTTCCCAATGTGATTCGCGTTGTAGCGCCACGCGCGTTCGTCTCGAATGTTTACAGCTGCTTCAAGGATGGAGGGCGGTTCCTTTTGAAAGTGTTGCTTTCGATTTACCGCCGCGCACAATCGTTTTGAACTTAGACAAGAGTTTCAAGGGTTCGTATGGCTGAAATCACAGGGAAAGTGTTCTGGCAAAATTTAGGGTTGTCAGGACGCAGCGGTCACGTTGATTCGCGGTGTTGACGTCCCAGGATTTTTTCTGGGGCAAAATGGAAGATTTTCAGACGGTTGTCTTCCAATGAGGCACTTCCCGCAATGCATCTAAGTTCTCGTAGGTAGAGGGGGAGCTGGGAGGGAGGGCTTATTGCGAAGTCGTAGCTGCGCCTTGGGTTTGCGCTGGCCCTCCTCGTCCCCCCTCCCCTCCCCGTTTGTCCGCGCCCCTCGCACTCGCCTTAGTCTACTCATCCTTACCGTCGCCATCATCGCTGCACTGTCGTCCTTTGCCGTGGCCACGGTCGTCGTCGCCGTGCTCGTTGTTGTGCCGCCGCCGCAGCCACCGTCGTCGCCGTCGCCGTCGCCGTCGCCGCCGCCGTCCTCGTCGTATTCGTCCTTGTCTTCGTCGCCGTCCGTGCTAGGAGCGGGCGCTCCTGAAGGTCCCAGAGATCAAGGCCGCCTACCCGGACATGACGAGGCCGGTCCTGGAGGCGAAGATGGCGAACGCGGGCGCGTGGGCGTTCGTGGAGCTCGCCACCGAGCAGCTCGCCAGCACAGCGGCCGCGCGGATGAGAGCAACCCGCCGTCGCCGCCGCCGTCGTCGTTGCCGTCGTCGTCGTCGTCGTCGTCGTCGTCGTCGTCGGCGTCGGCGTCGGCGTCGGCGTCGGCGTCGGCGTCGTCGTCGGCGTCAGTGTCGTCGTCGTCGTCGTTTCTGGGGGGAGGCGGCGACGTGATCGCCCACCGTGTTTCCCCAGTGGCCCCAAGCAATTCAAAACTGTTGTTCGATTTTCATGTGTTCCAACGCTCTTGTGCTGCGTTCTCGTTTGAACAGAGCATTGCGGTCTCTTCTTCTATTTCTTCACCTCCTCCTCCTCCTCCTCTTCCGTTCCCTTTCCTTATCAATATTCCTCCCTGTCGAACCCCGAGGCCAGTCGGAAGGGCAGGCCGGGCGTTACGCCTGCAAGAGTTTCATAGATGGAGAGCGGGTCGCTTTCAGCATGTGGCTCTCGCCTCAGCGCCGCGCACAGTCGTCTTAAACATATGTAAGAGCTTAGCTGATTGAGGGCGGCGGATCGTTTTCAAAATGTGATTCTCGCCTCAGTGCCGCGCACATTCGTTCTAAAAAGTTGAAAGAGTTTTGCAGGTTGAGGGCGGGTGGTTTTCAACATGTGCTCTTGCCTCAGCGCCGCGCACATTGGTCTTAAATAGTGCCAGAGTTTTGCGAATTGAGTGCGGGTGTTTTTTTGAAAGTGAGGCTCTCGCCTTAGCGTCGGGCGTTTTCGTTTTAGAAATGCAGGGGTGGTTTCACAACGGATGGAGGGCAGGTGGTTTTCAAAATGTGGTTATCGCCTCAGTGCCGCGCACATTCGTTCAAACAACATGTAAGAGTTTCACGGGTTGAGGGCGGTTCCTTTTCAACGTGTGGTTCTCGCTTTAGCGCCGCGCACAGTCGTCTTAAATTTCTGCAGCCGTGCGACGGGTTCCCAGGGTTAACGTACCAGAAACAGCGTTTTGGAACGATTCAGGATTGTCAGGGCGCAACAGTTACGTTAATTCGCGGCGCTGAAGTCCCAGGAATAGTGTTCTGTCACGCTTCACGTACCTCAAGACGCAACAGTCAGGTTGATTCGTGGCGTTAAAGTCCTGAGATTATTGTTTTGGCACGCCTCATGATCATCAAAGGGTTTTCTCCAGGCGGGGCAATACGGGGCCTATGAAGATGGAGCTTGGAGGGAGGGTTTATTCCAACATCGTTGATGAGTCCTTGGTTTACGCTGGTCCTCCTCCTCCTCCTCCTCCTCCTCTCCCTCCTTGGGAGGCTGCCAACAGCGCAAATGTCGCCATTTTCGTCGGCTCCTGGGAGGTCCAGCGGAGGCGGCTGCCAGGCGAGACCTCGCGGCTCCCTGTGGGGCTGCCAACGGCGCACCTGTCGCCACTTTCGGGGCTTCTGGGAGGTCCAGCGGGGTGGGTTTGTCCCGCAGATCCAGGCGAGACCTCCCGGCTCCCTGGGGGGGCTGCCAATTGCGCTCCTGTCGCCATTTTCGTGGGCTCCCTGGAGGTCCAGCGGAGTGGGTTGTCACGCACATGCAGGCGAGACCTCGTGGCGCGGCTCCATCAGGGGCTGCCACATGCGTAACCGTCGGCAACCTTAAACGGTTGGGTCAACGTGCGGCGCTTCCAGCAGACCAGGCGCTGCGTTTTCTGCTGCGCCTGGGGCATGGTCAGCATCAAGGATAATCTTGTTTCCAGAAAGTGGGGTTCTTGTTTTCTTCCCCACACCCCGCGTAGGAACGAGAAACATAACACACCCTCTCCTCTTCTCCCATCGCACACTCACTCACTCAATTACGCACACACATCCTCACTCACATTCACTCACTCACCCACTCACTCACCCACTTGCGCACACATTCACACACTCATCACTCACTCACTTATCTACTCACTCATCCACTCACGCTCTCACACGCATCATCATCACGCGCTCGCGCACTCACCCACTCACTCACCCACTTACCCGCCTCATTCACATCATCATGATCATCATCATCATCGTCATCATCATCATCATCATCACCACCATCATCATCATCATCATCAGCATCAGCATCAGCATCAGCATCATCATCATCGTCATCATCATCAGCATCTTCATCATCATCATCATCACCACCATCACCACCACCACCATCAGCATCATCAGCATCATCAGCATCAGCATCATCATCAGCAGCATCATCATCATCATGATCTTCAATCGGAGTCGTCACGGAGTCATCGGCGGGTCATCGGAGTCCTGCAAATGTCATTAGTTTTGGCCCCGAAGGCTTGAATGCGGAGGAAGTATCAGGCGGGAGCCTCGTCTGTGCGTGAATTGCGAGGAAGTCTCAGGCGGGAGTCCCCTCCTTATGGGGCCCGCAGCTCATGTACTTAATCCGAGGCGGGTCATCGGAATCTTGCAACTGTCGTTACTTTTTGGCCTCCTGAGGCCTGAATTTGGAGGAAGTATCAGGCGGGAGCCTCGTCTGTGAGTGAATTGCGAGGACGTCTCAGGCGGGAGCCCTCTCCCTATGGGGCCCGCACCTCACGTGCTTCCTCTGGGTCGTCCTCTGGCGCGCGCTTCCTTTGGGTCGTCCTCCGGCGCGTATCGGCTGGGACGCACGTCGTGCGTTTCCTCTGGGTCGTGTTCCGCACGAGGATGAGGAGGAGGAGGAGGAGGCCTAAGGATGAGGAGGAGGAGGAGGAGGAGGAGGAGGAGGAGGAGGAGGAAAAGGAGGAGGAGGAGGGAGAGAAGAGGAGGAGGAGGAGGAGGAGGAGGAGGAGGAGGAGCAGGAGGAGGAGGATGAGGAGGAGGCCTGAGGAGAAGGAGGAGGAGGAATAATAATACTTCTCATTATAATCGTAGGAAGAATACGAATCACAAGAACGATATGAGTACTAAGAATAATAATACTTTGAAGAAGAATACTACGACAACTAATAATAATAATGCTACTACTACTGATACTAATACTAATAATGCTATTGCCAATGTACCAAGAAGAAGAACAATACTAACAAACCTACGAAACATAGTAATAATGATAACAGACCATGAGTGCGATTCATACTAATAGTATTAAGAACGAGAAGAATAAGCACGCTACTAATTATACTGGTAATACCACGAATGTTAATAATAAACAAACTACGACGAAGACACACAACAACAATACTAATGCTATTCATATTATTGATACGTAAGTATTATAATAATAAGAAGACTAGAAATGCGAAAACTAAGAATCAGAGGAGGAGGATGATAATGAGGAGGAGGAGGAGGATGAGGCCTAAGGAGGAGGCGGAGGAGGAGGAGGAATAGCAGGAGGGAGGGGGAGGAGGAGGGGAGGAGGAGGAGGAGGAGGATGGAGGACGAGAGGAGGAGGAGGAGGAGGAGGAGGAGGAGGAGGAGGAGGAGGAGGAGGAGGAGGAGGAGGAGGAGGGGAGGAGGAGGAGGCGGAGGAGGAGGAGGAGGAGGAGGAGGAGGAGTTGGAGGAGGAAGAGCAGGAGGAGGAGGCGGAGGAGGAGGAAGAGGAGGAGGAGGGGAGCAGGAGGAGGAGGAGGAGGAGGATGCAGGACGAGAAAGAGGAGGAGGAGGCGGAGGAGGAGGAGGAGGATGAGGAGGAGGAGGAGGGGGGAGGAGGAGGAGGAGGAGGAGGAGGAGGAGGAGGAGGAAGGAGGATGCAGAGGAGGAGAGGAGGAGGAGGAGAGGAGGAGGAGAGCAGGAGGAGGAGCAGGAGGAGGAGGGAGAGGAGGAGGAGGAGGAGGAGGAGGAGGAGGAGGAGGAGGAGGAGGAGGAGGAGGAGGAGGAGGAGGAGGAGGAGGAGGCAGAGGGCGAGAAGGACGAGGAGGACACAAAGGAAGAGGAGTGGCCTAGGAAGCCCCAGTATGTCCCGGGAGGCCCAGAAGGCTCCAGGAGGCCCCAAGAGGCCCCAAGAGTCCCCAGGAGGAGGCAGGAGGCCTAAGGAGCAGGCAGGAGGAGGGGGAGGCGGAGGATGAGGGGGAGGAAGACGAGAGACGAGGAGGAGGAGGAGGCGGAGGAGGGAGAGGGAGTGGAGGAATGTGGAGAGGGGAGAGGGGGCAGGAGAGGAGGAGGAGGAGGAGGAGGAGGAGGACGCAGGATGCAGGAGGCAGGAGGAGCAGGGAGAATGGGGGGAGGAGGCCATAACGAGGAGGAGGAGGAGGCGGAGGCGGGAGGAGGAGGAGGAGGTGGAGGAGGAGGAGGAGGAGGAGGAGGAGGAAGAGGGAGGAGGAGGAGGTGGAGGAGGAGGAGGAGGAGGGGAGGAGGAGGAGCGGTGGAGGAGGCAAGAGGAGGAGGAGGAGGAGGAGGAGGGAGGCGGAGGAGGAGGAGGAGGAGGAGGAGGAGGAGGAGGAGGAGGAGGCAGGGGTTGAGGCAGGAGGAGGAGGAGGAAGAGGCATGAGGAAAAGGAGGAGGCAGGAGTAGGTGGGAGAAGGGAGGGGGCAGGAGGAGATCCCCAGGCAAGCTAAACATATTCTCACGTGTGGTCCTACCGTCGGAGTTTGTTACAGAAACAACTCTCTGGGCTATAATGCGCGTTATGCCCGCTGCCGCAGTGCGTCCGGCCGGCACCACAGTTTGGGGAGGGCCGTTACGTCATGCCCCCCCCCCCCCGTCCCCCCCTCCCCCCCATAACACCCGTGACGGCCGCGTGCAAAGACATGCGCTCAAGCATGACGGTCATGACGCCCCCTGCAGCTGTTACCACCGGTGGGGTGAGGAGCGCTGCAGTCTTGCGCGGCCGACGGCCTCCCGACGGCCTGCCCAATTTCTTGGGCCTGCGTGCTTCCCCGGCCGCCGCGCGCTCAGCGGAGGCGCGGCACGTGCCCAATGCTCCACTCTCCGCGTGCTCTTGCGCGCTCTGCCGCGCAGCCTTGGCGGTCTGCCGCCGCACGGTCGAGGCAGCGGACGCCGGGGCCATTTTCAGGGCTGCGGTCCGTTCAGAGGCGACGAAGGGGGCGAATAGCCAAAGGGGGAGCAGGAGGAGGAGGAGGAGGTGGAGGAGGAGGAGGAGGAGGATGAGGAGGAAGGAGGAGGAGGAGGGAAACAGGAGGAGGAGGAGGAGGAGGAGGAGGCGGAGGAGGAGGAGGAGGAGGAGAGGAGGAGGCAGAGGAGGAGGAGGAGGAGGAGGAGGAGGAGGAGGAGGAGGAGGAGGACGAAGAGGAGGAGGAGGGAGGAGCGGAGCAGGAGGAGGAGGGGGAGGAGGAGGAGGCGGAGGAGGAGGGGAGGACGAGGAGGAGGAGGACGATGAGGAGGAGGAGGAGGAAGATGGATGAGGATGGAGGAGGAGGAGGAGGAGGAGGAGGAGGAGGAGGAGGAGGGAGAGGAGGGGGAGGAGGAGTCTCACGGATGACGGAGGAGGATTAGGCTTTCCATCCCAAGGTCGCCCTGCGTTCGATCAAGTTCGACGACGGGACGAACGCCGTCATTGGGTGGCCAGGTGACCGCGGACGAACTGATGGGGGTGGGGGCTGCTGAGACAGGGGCGTATGACGAGGATCAGGGTTATGTGATTGAGATGCTGATGCTGATGCTGATGATGATGCTGCTGCTGATGATGATGATGATGATGATGAGGATGAGGATGATGAGGATGAGGATGAGGATGATGATGACGATGAGCGCCGGTTGCATTTCCTCTGAAATCGAGGCTCACGCTCAGGCGTTTCGGGGGTGCGCCGACACCGGCCCCCAACAACAGCAACAGCAACAGCGACACAACAGCAACAGCAACAGCAGCAACAGCAACAGCAACACAACAACAACAACAACAACAGCGCTCTCGCTCGATACTTCCTGCTTTTCTACTCGGGACTGGGGCGCTTGCTCGCCGTTGACCTCGGCGCCGCAAGCGGCCGCCCCCTGCAAACAACGACGCTCCCGCTCGATACTTTCCCGCTTCTGATCAAGGCTCCCAGAGGCCCTGAGGCTTCCTAATCCGAGGCGGGGATTTATACATGACCACCGCCTGGAGGATCCATTTCGGGGATCTCGGCAGGCGGTGGATATGGACATATTCGGACCCCCAGGGGCCAAAATGTATCCATATCCACCGCCCGCTGGGGCACTAGGACGTCGGTTCCCAGGCGGTGGATATGGATAAATCCCCGCCTCGCATCCTAAGTCCATGTTGAGCCTTGACCCTTAGCAAGTGGTAATGGTGGGACACCCTACAACCACACCAGCGCTCTCACCTCGGCGCTCTGCTGCGTTTCTGCAAAATCTGCGTCACCTCCGCGCCGAAACCGCCCCCCGACAACAACAACAACACCAACAACGCTCCCGCTCGACACCACGCTCGACACTTCCTCCTCTTCTACTCGGGACCGGGGCTCTTGCTCGCCGCCCCATGCCGGCTTTCCGACCGAACCAGCGCTCCCGCTCGAGGTGGCCGTTTTTTCTCAGGAGCGGCGCTCCCGCCTCGGCGCCGCAGACGACCCCCCCCCGCAAGCAGCGACGCTCCCGCTCGATACTCCCGCCGCTGTCATTCAAGGTTCCCGGAGGCCCTGGGGGGCTTCCCTAGTCCCTAGTTAGGGGGCCACATGCGAACCCTACCCCTACCCCCCTCGATTTCTGAGGGGGAGGGTGGGGTTCAATTCGTTCGGGAGCTCCCGAGCGAAGTGAGACCGAGCTCCCGAGCGAAGTGGACCCCACCCTCCCCCGCAGAAATCGTGGGGGGTAGGGGTGGGGTTCGCATGTGGCCCCCTATGGGGGGGGCTTCCCTAGCCCCTGGTACCGATCCCCAAGAATGCAGCATGCACTGGTGCCTCCGTGGCGCGCTCCGCGAGCCAGGGGCGGCCCGAGAGCCCGCGGCGGCGACCCCGTCATCCTCGTCGTCGTCGTCGTCGTCGTCGTCGTCGTCGTCGTCGTCGTCGATGTCCTCCTCCTCTTTCTTTTTTCCTCCTCCTCCTCCTCCTCTCCCCTCTTCTTTCCTCCTCCTCCTTCCTCCTCCTTCCTCGTCGTTCCTCCTTCCCCCTCCTGCCTCTCTTGCTTTCCACTTGTACTCGGCCTTCCCCGAGGCCCAGAAGCTCCTCCGATCCAAGCCTTTTCCAAAAATGCCCTGCGGCCTCCTTCAAGATGCCCCGCAATCCTCCAGTTCAGCTTTAAAACGTCTCCCAGGGTTTCTATGCTTCCCACAGGGGTTCTGAAACTTCTCTGACAGGCTCTGGGGGTCTTTAAGCGGCTCAAGGGGCTGTCCAAGGTGTCCCAGGGGCTCTCCCAGATTTCGTCGGTCCTCTCCCAGAGGTTTTGGGCCACTCGGGCGTGGGGATACCTAGAAGCAGGGCACGGGCAGGGCGATTGCGAAGTAGATGTGCCATCCAGGCTGGAGATGTTGAAGCGCTTCGGAAGAGGTATTGTCAAGACCTCCTCGTGTGAGAGATCTGGGGCCCCTATGAGGGGGGCACTATCATGATGGATGCATGCTGCAAATAAAGTCATCGAGCACTCGGGTCAACTGGTTGTTGTTGCTGTTGTGGCTGCTGCTGTTGCTGTTGGTTATGCTGTTGTTGCTCCCGTTGTTGTTGCTGCTGTTGTTGTTGATGAGGATGATGAAGCGGATGATGGTGTTTGCAGGGTATTGACGCTTCTGTGGAACATTATCGTCCGCGTGATCAGATTGACGTTGAGGAAGACGAGGATGAGGAGTATGATGATGCCCACTATCATGTTCATGATGCGAACACGTCATGACGACGTGTATGCGAAATACATGGATGGCGAGGATGATTGGAGACGGCGATGATGGGAAGTATGAGCGACACACTCGGTAGCACCCCGCGCATTCGCAGCTCAACAAGTATAACTAGGAGGCATATGGCAAGTATCATGATGCTCATGATGGTGATGGTCGGTGGCAGTGATGGTACGGATAATGATACGCGTGATGTAGACGACGCAGATGACGTGGATGTTGACTGTGCTCTCGGTGCTGGTGGTCATTACGATGATGTCCATTGGGATGTGTAGGAGGAGGAGGAGGAGGAGGAGGAGGAGGAGGAGGAGAATAGGCCGATGATGGATGACCTCTCCTGGCCAATGATCTGGCAAACCCTTTCCCCCAAGACGGCCCAGGGCGCACCAAAGCTGGACAAGACGAGCTGAGACCAGACAAGACGAGATGATACGAGACAACAGACGCCAAGACAGCCTCCAGGTCGGCACAGTACGGCCCAAAGCCGCGTCGAGAGGGCTCCCGACAGATCTAAAAAGAAAGCCGCAGACTTCTGCCTTCTCGTCTTGTCGCCTCTCCGAAACCTGCCGAGACGGCCTCAAGATGGCCTCCAGAGGGCCCCAACAGGGCCCCGGAGCGGGCCTCGGAGGGACCCACCGCGGCGCGAGAGGCCCCCGAGAGGCCCCCCCAGGGGATGCCCGGGAGGGCCTACACCTGCAGGAGCTCGGAGGTCCACGCGGACCTCCGAGTTTTTTTTTTTTTTTTTTTTTTTTTTTTTTGTTTTTTTTTTTTTTGTTTTTTTTTTCTGTCACTGTTGACTCCCCTAAGGCGTGCCCCGAGACCGTCCACGTGCCGAGCCCGCCGACGGAGCCAGTCCGGCGTCCTCGGCGCTCGGCGGGCCCAGGGGCGGCCCCCGGGGAGGCCCGAGGAGCCAAGGACGTTCCCCCCCGGGCCCTCGGGAAGCCCCCAGCGCGGCCCCAAGAGGCCCCCGAGGTGCTCCCCCCTCCTCCCCCCCCCAGGGGCCGCCGAGGAGGAGGAGGAGGAGGAGGAGGAGGAGGAGGAGGAGGAGGAGGAGGAGGAGGAGGAGGAGGCGGAGGCGGAGGAGGAGGAGGCCCCTCTCATCAACAGAGAGGACATGGCGATCTCAACGATACCACTTGGCTCAACCGCGCGAAGCAAAGGACAACGCTGCAGAGTATGGAGACCCAATGCGTGTATGCGAAGTGAAGAGTACGTGCGCACGGTGACTCATTTTCTTCACAGGGGCTACGGCCCGACGCGGCCCGCCCAAACGGGCGCGGCCCTACGACCAGTGGGGCGGATGGACGCTCGCTCCGCCCCCAGGAGACCGCATTACGCTCATAACTGGCCCCTCATACATGGCACAGGCACCCCTAGAAGCGTCACGCCCCACTGGTGGGGACGGCGAAAGTACACAACAGGCCTGCCATGACGGGGCAGCGCTGGCGGCGAAGGTGAGACATCTGACGCAGAATAAAAGACGTGCTTGGGGGGAGGGGAGGGGAGGGGAGGGGAAGGGAGGGGAGGGGGGAAGCAGGAGGGGGATGTGAGGGGGAGGGCGACGGAAATCAGTTGTTCGTGCACTCGACATACTGATGATTGGCGGATTTTCGCCACTACTACTACCATATGTAGGACGTGGGAGATGGAAGGATGAGGAGTTCCTCCTCCTCCTCCTCGTCCTCCTCTCCCCTCTTCTACTTAGGTAGTTGTGGTGGAAAATGGGCCTCCAACCCTCAGATCCGAGGCCCCGCCCCGCCAGCCCGTTTCTCCGCGGTTTGCCGGGGGTGGCCACCGCGCCAGCTCGCCGGCCACGTCCCGTCCGCAGGGCAGGGCGGGGAGGGCTGCGACGTGGGGCCGAAGGGCAGTCATGACATCTGGCACGGACCGAAGCCTGTGAAGCCACGTGCCGGCAAGGCGCTCAAGTCGTGGTGGGCCATCGGGAGGGGCTCCGATTCCCGGGCCGCTCTCCGGATCGATCTGGGTCGGGGAGCGCGATCGTGGCCGAGGCTCGCCGTGGCCCTGGAGGCCCTTTCGCTCCTCAGTGCGGAGGAGGAGGAGGAGGAGGAGGAGGAGGAGGAGGAGGAGGAGGAGGAGGAGGAGGAGGAGGAGAGGCGGAGAGGAGGGAGGCGGAGGAGGCGGAGGAGGCGGAGAGGCGGAGAGGAGGAGGAGGAGGAGAGGAGGAGGAGGAGGAGGAGGAGGAGGAGGAAGAGGAGGAGGAGGAGGCGGAGGAGGAGGAGGAGGAGGAGGAGGAGGAGGAGGCGGAGGTGGGGCGGAGGCGGAGGCGGGCGGAGGAGGAGAAAGCGCGGAGGCGGAGGCGGAGGCGAAGGCGGATGAATGCGGAGGAGGCGGAGGCGGAGGCGGAGGCGGAGGAGGAGGAGGAGGAGGAGGAGGAGGAGGAGGAGGAGGAGGAGGAGGCGGCGAGGCGGAGGCGGAGGCGGAAGGCGGAAAGGCGGAGGCGGAGGCGGAGGCGGAGGCGGAGGCGGAGGCGGAGGCGGAGGCGAAGGCGGAGGCGGAGGCGGAGGCGGAGGCGGAGGCGGAGGAGGAGGAGAACGTCCTTTGCGCCGTCCGCCAGGCCAGGGCAAGGATGCCGAGCGGCACGCGGCCCCCAGCCTCCTGGTGCGCACCGCGCAGCTCAAGCTGCAGGACGTGGGGCGGATAGAACCACCCCTCCTCTCCCCTGGCCTCGTCTCTCCTTCTTCCTCCTCCGCCCTTCCTCGTTCTCCCCCTTCCCTCGTCCTCATCCCCTTTTCCGCCGCCCTCCTCCCCCTCTCCCGCCCCCTGCTCCCCCGTCCTCCTCCGCCCCGCCTCTCCTCGACCCCTCCTCCTCCTCCTCCTCCTCCTCCTCCTCCTCATCCTCCTCCTCCTTCCCGTCCACCTCCTCCTCCTCCTCCTCCTTCCCGTCCACCTCATTCTTCCACATGTTCCTCATACCTTACCTCTCGTCCCCTGCTCTCTCTCTCTCTCTCTTTTTTTTTTTTGTTTTTTTTTTCTCTCTCTCTCTCTGGCTCATACCTTGCCTCTCGTCCCTTTCTCTCTCCTCCTCTCCCCCTCTTCTTCCTCCTTCTCCTCCGTAGCCATTTTGGCCTCGGCGGGGCAGCGAGCGCGGACCGCCCGCCACAGTTCCAAGTCCCGTCTCGGGGCAGGGGAGGGGCTTCCCTTTTTCATACTCATTTGCAGCTACTTCGGCGTACGCCATGCGAACGCAGCCATTGGGACTTTCGGTGGAACTCCCTACGGGGCCACGACATATGTCAGCCACGCGCAGAGGGGGATAGGGGGAGGGGGGAGGGCTTCTTAGAAGCAACCCTGCTTCTTAGAAGGCGCAGGCCTTATCTATTGATGTAAACCGGCGCCTTCTAAGAAGCAGCCTCCTTCTAAGAAGCCCTCCCCCCTCCCTCTACCCCCTTGTGCGCGCCGCCAAATATGTGTGATGTGTCGATTCGGGTGCGGGTTCGCCATGCGAGCGTGGCCAGTGGGGTCTTCGGTGGAGCTCCCTCTGGGGCCACGATGCGCGTGAGGGGTGTGCCGACTCGGTGGCGAGTGCGGAACGCTGTTCGTACGTCCGTTGGCGACGGTATGCGTGCTGAGTGGCCTGCAGGGAGCTGGTTGCCTGCGCCCCCGCCGCCGCCATCACGGCCCCAGCAGCCAGCATTCAAAGGGGTCATCACCAGTGGCGCCGTCGGCACGTGGCGTGCTGCTCCTTCCCCCGCTGCCTCTTGACCCCGCTCTGCTCATGCCTCGGGCTCGTTCTGCCCGCATCGAGCTAGGCGGCCAGGCAGCTCTGGGCGAACTGCGCGGTCGGGCAGGAGGAGCAGGGAGATGGGGAGAAGGACGAACAAGGGGAGCAGGGAGAGGGGAGGGGGGGAGAGGGCAGAGGGGGGCAGGGAGAGGTGGCTCTGCTCCCATCTCTTCGGGCACCCGCGAGCAGGCAGGCTGGGCCGCGCACTCCTCCGCTGGCCCCCACCCCCGCCCGGGGCAGTTCGATCTCCGGTCGCCCGCGGCTCTGCGGCTTTCTCCCACAGCTTGACACGGAGGTACAGCGCGCAGGATCCTGCCGCGCAGCGGCCAGGCCGTCGGCCCAGTGGACGGGCCCCCTGTTCGCCAGGCGGGCAGGCAGGATCCGCAGGACCGCCCCGCAGGAGCCGCAGGTGGAGGTAGAGGAGGACAGCCGACCCCGTCATCGAGTTGCGAGCGCAGGAGCACCCCGAGGCTGGGCGAGTGAGGGGTGCCGCGTCGGCCGCCGAGTCCTCGTGTGGGCACCGTGCAGGGAGCGGGCCCTCGCCTGCCCCCGTGGGACTCCCCCAGTCGCGCTCGCGCTCCCTTCGGCGTTCTCCCGGGGCTCTGGCAAATCATCCCCGTCGAAAGGAAGGGAGAGTGAGTTCCAAATCCGTAGGGAAGACGATGCTCCTTCTCCTCGCTCTATCGCCCCCCCCCCCCGGACCCCCCAAAATGATTGAGTGGGGCTGACTAATAGAATTCAGCCGCCGGAAACTGTTTTTTAATCGTCCGCCCCCCAGCGTTTGCTTTTGCCCCTTTGGGGGAACTGATTTTCTATTCGTCCTCCTTCGCTCGCTTGATCACCCGCGGCCGCGGGGGGAGGATTGCGGAGGGGGGACGGGGTAATTTGGGATTAGTTGAGGGAAGGGGTTTTCGAAGAGGCGCTTGATCACCCTCGTCCTTGCGGACGGCCGCCGGTCGTCCTTGCGGATCGCCCTGGATCGCCACCCCGTGCCCCCCGCCCCCCTGGCCTTCCAGGCAACCTGGAATTGTCAGCCCCCCGTCTGCCTGTCCCGCCCCCCCGCTATTGCGGGGGCGAGGAGGCCCGCGAAACAATATTTTAATCGTCCGCCCCAGTTTTTTTTTTTTTTTTGGGGGGGGGGGGGGGTTGTTTTGTTGGTTTCTGTTTTTTGGTATACATATGTGTATATATACATATCTATATATAACCGTTTCCCCCCATGACCGTTCAGCCCTGGAAGAAGAGGAGAGGGCGACAGCCTGTCTTCGGCCCACTCTCAGAAAGGCCCTTCCCCTGACAGGCGAGCAGGTTACTTGAGCGCATTTAGTCCGGCTCTTTTGGCTGGTCACTCCTGTGTCACAGAATGCGACATGGCACGATGCCGCCATAATCACGTCCTCGTCTTCCTCCAGTTCATGCTTCTGTCGACGGACAGGCCAGAGGTCGGCGCCATGAGAACAAACCGTATCAGGTGGATGTATCCTTTGTGGTCCCGCCGAGTTGTAGCTCATGTCGAACAGATGTGCGGCTTATCGTTCGATGAATCAGCGGCCGTTGCCGTTGCTGGCAGTACAAACCGTCGGACTTGCAGCAACGCCTTTATTGTGATACGCGCGCAATTGACGACCTCTGGAGGGGAGCTCTGTCGTGCAAACTTAGCGAATGATTTCTTTGCGCAGAGTGCTGGGTTTCCCGCCCGCTGCCAGCGGAACGAGCGTTGTGGACCCAGTGGTTCGCTTCGCGTGCCAGTGAGCTTCCGCGTGTCTTTGTTGACTCACCTGGTCAAGTGCAGGGGTCTGGGGTACCGTTAGCCAATGCAGTTCAGGGTGACACTTGCTTACGGAATGGTCTTCGGACCTTTCTCGCTACTTCAGTTTGAGCTTCAGTCCTGCGCCCAGAGACCTGATTATGCAGTGAGGGGCATCTGTCGCTCGTTCCCCTGTTGGGCTCCCCCCCATCTTCTCTTGCACCTTCGCATGTGCTCCTCTTTCTGCCGGGGTTCGATTCGGCAGTGCCTTCTCCAAGTGGCCAGCACTTGCTGATTCAATGAGGGGCTTCGCCCCCCTCTGCCCTCTTCCTTTGGGTCGCCCCCAGCCCGGCAATGGGCTTCGCGCCTCTGGATGGCCAGTGGTTGTCTCGAGGTGTTTCTACGGATTGGAGGGGTTGTCGACGTTTGAAGGGGCTCAAAGACACACAAACAGATACACGTAACAGGATCTCCCAAATTTTTCAATATTTTTGGGATTTTCGTCTTCCCCGCCACTTCCTACGTTTTCCTAGATTTTCTTGGGAATCGACGATTGATGGTGTCTTTTCATTTTTAAGTTTTTTCCCCCTCCTGAGCGTTTTGAGGGTGGTGGTGGTTCTTGTACCTGTGATTCGGTCCGAGAGCACTTGGGACCGTCTTGTGGCCCTCGCCGGGCCTCCTGAAGGGATGTCGGAGGCTATCTTGAACCATCTTCGGCGATTTCGAGCCGTCTTGAAGGCCATCCTGGAGCATCGTTGGCCGTTTTGGAACCATCGGGGGTCTTCGGCGAGTGGGCCCTCGATTCAGGTTCGGAGGGCAGCGCCGTCATTTCAGCGTACCGTCTAACGTCTTTCGTCCTCATTGGATACAAACTCACCTCTTCCTTCCTTTACCTCTCCTTACCCGTCCTCACGCTTATGTTTGCTTGTTTCGCCGCACGTAGGTGTGTGAGGTCGTTGTCGTCAAGGGCGGCTTCTTTGGGACAGCGGGGTTGGAGGGGTGCTTCGGCCCACTGGAGCCTTCAAGTCGTCAGTGTTTTTCGCCTGCCTCTGTCTCGGAATTATTTAGGGGCTTAGACCCCTGAGTTTTACCGGCTCGTGTAGGGGCCAACCACGACCGTCGAGCCCAATCGAGCTCGGCGCTCGCCCGGCCGCAGGAGCTTGACCCCCTTTCGTGGGCAGCCGATCCGATCCAATCCTCTTTTCCTCCGCCCCCCCCCCCGCCCTCTCCCTACCTCCCGCTCCTCTGCCATCGCCGCCTCCCCCTCGCCCGCGGGTCCCCGCCCCCCTCCTTTCGTGAGACGCGCCCCCCCCCTCCTCTGCCCTTTCCCCTTCTCTCCCGCCCGCTGCCCCGCCCCGTCCCGCCGCGCGCCCGACCGCGCCACTCGTGGCGCCACTCGTGGATGGGACCGGCGAGGTCTTTTCGGGGTCGCAGGGGAGGCGGGCTTCTTCTTCGCCCCCTTCCCTCACGTCCCCCCCCTTCGCTCTCCCCCGTCGTCCCCGCCCCCCCCATCCACAAGTACTTAACACCTACACACTGCGAATGCTACTCTCCTCCGTTCCCAGATCCAGTCCGAGCGTGGCAGGATTTTTCCAGCATGTTGTTTTTAGTGTATAGGGTTTCAAATGGTGGTCTTCGGTTTTCAGCCGGAACGTTTTCGGCGTTTCAAATTGGTGCTCCCGCTGCAGCGTTTGCGCACCATTTTCGGATCGACGCTCTGCTCCCGTCGTTCAGAATGGCGCTCAACCCCAGCGCGGGCCACGCAATTCTGGATCCGAGGCCTCCCTCGTCGTTGTCGCCCCGCTCCTTTCCCCCCCTCCCACTGGCCATCCTGCCCTTCCCGCTCCTCCTGCTCCTGCTCTTCCTGTTGCTGCTGTTTCTCATCGCCCTCCCCATGCCTCTTTACGTAGTTTCCTTTATCATCTTCTTCCTTTCGCTCATGCTCTTGCTCATCGGCCACCCCCGCCTCCTCCTCCTCCTCCTCCTCCTCTTCCTCCTCCTCCTCCTCCTCCAATGTGCACAGCTCCAGAGTTCGGATTTCGCATAAGACGATGCAGTGCTTTTGTGGGTTCCACGGCCGCAGTGGGGAAGGGACGGGTGATAGGGGCAGGATGCCAGATGTGGCGCGATCGCACCTAGCTTTATAATGAGTACTACTTCCCTCTCTCTCCACTCTCTCCATATCCTGTCCGAGCGGGGCCCGTTTCCTCCAGCATTTTTCTTCGGCGTGTAGGATTTCAAGAGGCGATGGTCAATGTGTACTTGTTTTCGATCGGAGTGTTTCGGTGTTTTTCTCGCCCCAGCGCAGCCAACATTCCGGGCCCGAGTTCTTTATCATCATTGTGGCCCCGTTCTTTCCCCTTCCTCCGCTTTCCACTGGTCCTCGTGCTTGTCTCCTGCTCCTCCTGCTCCTCCCAATCACTACTGCTGCTGTTGCTGTCCCCCCTGGACCTCCTTCCTCCTCCTCCTCATCCTCTTCCTTTTGTCCATCCTCTTGCTCATCCGCTTCCTCCTTCTCTACTCCAGTGTACGCAGCTTTTTTTTGTTGTTTGTCTGACTGCGCATAACGCGATGGGGTTCTTTGAGGGTCCAAGGTCCGCCATGACACCCGTGGATGGGTAGAGAAACAACAGCGCAATGAGAAGGGATGGGCGGGAGGGGCAGGACGTCAGACATGGCGCGACCGCACCTAGCTTGCCTCTTTCCTCTCCCTTTCCCTCTCCTCTCCTTCCTTCATGCCCCCCGTCGTCCTTCTACGTTTCCCGCTTCTCGCCTTCCTCGTCGTTCCGCCTCCTCGTTCATGGCCGCCTCCCCCTTCCCTCCCCGTCCCCTCTTCATCCTCCTCCTCCCGCCTTCTAAACTTCTTCCTGCTTGTGCTCTTGCTCTTGCTCTTCCTCCTCCTCCTCCTCCTCCTCCTTATCATCATCCCCTTCCCCTGTTCAAGGAAGGGGTAAGCAGGATCACGGGGAGGAGGAGGAGGAGGAGGAGGAATCCTCAATTGGCAGAAGGAGGAGGAGACGGCGGATGATCATGATGATGATGGTGATGATGATAATGTTGATGGCGATTATGCTGATGATGGTGATGATGATGATGATGCTGATGCTGATGCTGATGCTTATGACAAATCTGCTGATGATGATGCTGATGCTGATGCTGATGCTGCTGATGATGATGCTGATGCTGATGCTGCTGATGCTGCGGATGATGATGCTGATGATGCTGATGATGATGTTGATGCTGATAGTTATGATGCTGATTCTGATGAGGATGATGATGATGTTGATGATGCTGATGATGATGATAGTGATGGTGATGGTGACGGTGATGATGATGATGATGATGATGATGATGATGATGATGCTGACGATGATGATGACGATGCTGATGGTGCTGATGATGATTATGATGGTGGTGGTGATGATGATGATTATGATGGTGACGGTGCTGGTGATGCTGATGGTGATGGTGGTGATCATGATGATCATGGTGATGGTGATGATGGTGGTAATGATCATGCGGATGATGATGATGATGATGATGATGATGATGATGATGATGATGATGATGATGATGATGATGATGATGATGATGATGATGATGATGATGATGATGATGATGATGATGATGATGATGATGATGATGATGATGATGATGATGATGATGATGATGATGATGATTATGCTGATGATGATGACGATGATGATGATTATGATGATTATGATGATGATGACGATGATGACGATGACGATGACGATGATGATGCTGCTGCTGCTGATGATGATGATGATGATGATGATGATGATGATGATGATGCTGCTGATGCTGATGCTGCTGATGATGCTGATGATGACGATGATGATGTACATGAGTGCACGGACTTGAATGAGCTTGATCTCGACTTGTTGCCACGTGCATCTACATATCCGTCCCTTAACTGTTTATGCTCAAGTTTCTCGCGGGAGTGAGGGAGGCGTCGCTCCACCACTTGCTGTCGCCCACCACCGCTCTCTCTGTGCCCTTCGTTTGCTCGATGTCCGACCCATGGCTGGGACGAGCGGTGGCAGCCGGGAGGTGATGGTGGGCGAGGAGCTGTCCGAGGCGCCAGTTTCGGTCTTCCGCCTGAGAGCTGGCCGCGGAACACCGCGGGACGGTGGGGCGGGGTGCGCGGGCAGAGAGTCTCGCGCGCCCGTGGCAGCGGCCAGCGGGAGTGCCGTCGCGCGCGCCCACGGCCAAGGTTGCGGAGCGCTGGCCGGCTGGAGTTCTGTCGCGCTCTCCTTCGACCAGCCTGGCAGCGGAACTTCTTGGCGACGCCAGTCCGACGGTTCCACGACGAGGTGTGCCTTGGCGGGTCTGTGAGCGAGCTGCGGTCGCGGATCGCGGCTGACTCTGCGTCTTCGGGCTGGGTGCGAAGGTCCTCGAGGACGAAGGCCAGTCCCCTCCGGGGTAGGGCGTCGTAGAGGACGCGGAGATCGTCGCGACCAGGCGGGTTCGCGGAGTAGGCGACGCCGACGACCGCTCCGACGAGGGTATGGAGTTCGCCGACGCTGTGGATCAACACGTCGACCTTCGGCGCGCGATGAATGGGTGCCTGCTGGCGATCGGTGTCTCCTTCGAGCAGGCCGGGGACGACGACGAGAGTGCGGAGTCCCAGCCTCATTTCAGGCCAGCGATTTCGAGCCGACCTCTACCACCAGTGTGGGGGAAGAGCCCAGAAAGGAACCCCCGACCGCCGGTGCGGGGCCGATGATGAGGGGTCATGCGGGCTACTAGGAGTCGCGTGGATGCGTCGGAACTCGAGATCGGTGCCGTGCCAGCCGCTTCCGAGGAGGGTGCCGTGCAAGGTCCAGTGCTGGCCCCTCCGCTCTCAGTCGAGCAGGATGCGTCGCTGGCCATGGAGGTGTTAAAGGGCACCTGGGCTACGATCGAGGCGGCCATGCGCGCGCAGTGGGTTTTCCAGGTGATGAGGGGCCTGCGTGCCTTGGCTGCGCGCGCCCCGCCAATCCGGGGCTGTCGTCTGGGATTGCGGGCGCCGCGGCAGCTTCCGCCGACGCTGGCACTTTGATGCGCGAGACGGTGCAGGGCGAGCCCCAGGCAGGCGGCAGTGGATCAGGTGGCGGTGCCAGTTCGACGGCAGCCAATGTCGCGGGCGGGCAGTGGCGCGCCCGGGGCCCGGGGGCGGCATTCGGGCCAGCCTGCTTTCCTGGCCTCGTGGGCCTCCTAGCTTTCTTGGGCCTCGCGCCGCTGCTCTCCGCCTCCTGGGTGTTGCCTTGGGGCGGGGTGGTCGGCGCCAGCGACGCCGGCGAGTGCGGCCTGGGAAGGGGTTCGACATGGGGCGGCCCTGAGGAGGCGGCCCAACGCGGCCGTCTCCCTGGGAGGTCGAGGCGTGGCCTCTCGTCTTCTTCTGCCAGAGAGCACGCGCTGCAGCAGGCAGGTCTCGAGAGTTTTGATGATGACGTCAAGCTTCCCGATGGGAATTTCGAGGGGGTGGTTGCCTTTTCCGAGGCGCCGTGGAAGCTGTTGAGGAAGTCCGACTGGCACGTCGCAGGTCGAAGCCAGTGGGAGTCGGCCGAGCCCATCGTGCAGCTCGAGACTCGGGCAGCAGTGGCTACGCTTCACCACGGGACGCGCGCGCGCCTCGGGGCCAGTCGCGCAAGGTCTATTTCGGAGACAATCTTGGCATGGTCTTGGCGCCCGAACGGTGATGGCCAGGGGCGCTGCGATGCTTGCCCAAGTCGAAACGTGGTGCGCCGTTTACTTCGCGAGAGGGAGTCGTTCAGCCATCGCGTGGATCTCTTCGGAATGGAACGTGGCGGATGAGCCGCCCAGAAACACCAAGACCGATGTGCCTTGCGTCCACGGCCGCCCAGGCTCGAACGCCTGGGGCGTCGCCCGCCGCCCCCTGCCGGGCAGACCGCGCCGCGGGCTGGCGATGGCCAACTGCGCCCCGGCGCCGCCCGAGCTGGGCTGCCCGACAGGGCCGCGCGGCAGCGGGCGCTGCGCGTCGCTGCCGGCTGCGCGGGGGGCGCCGCCGGCGGCTGCAGGGCGCGGCCGGCGCGGGGAATTGACCGCGCCCGATGTCCGCGCCGCGCCGAGCGCGAGGCTGCGTTGCGCGCGGGCGAAGCCGCCCGACGACCTCGACGAGTTTGTTTGCGCCGATGGCTCGGAGGCGCGCGGGGGGGAGGGCGTCGGCGACGCAGGGGCGAGCGGCCGCCGGCGCCTTGGGCCGTCGCGGACGAGGGGGCTGGAGAGAGGGGCCAAACTCGACCCCCTCGTCGGAGAGCCGCGCGCCTGGAGAAAGAGCGCGGCGCCGGAGGTCATGGGCGACTGCTGCCCGCGCGCGAGGGTCGCCTTGGATTTCGGCTGGAGGCGCCGGGCGCCGGCTGAAGGGGGGCGCGAGCCTGGGCGTCGACGTGGCCCCGACCCGCCTCGTGGGCGCGAGGTGCCGCGACGGCGAGCGCAGCAGCCGCGGCGCCGAGCTCCTCGCGGAATGGACGGCGGTGCGCCCCGAGCACGGGGAGTTCGGGGGCCCGAGCTGCCGTGCGCTAGCCGTGTAGCGACGGGGTGGAAGCGGCAGGTGCCGGGCCGCGGCTGGGGGCCGCGCACTTTTCTGGTTGTGGCCGGGCTGGTCTGCGCCCTGGTCTTCTTGGGCGAGCTCGAGGCCGCCTTCTGGGTGAACGGGGCTTTCGGATTTTACTTTCGGCCGTGCGAGTGCCCGGGGATCGAGCCAGATAACCTCGTCCCGCCAGTGACTGGGGCGCCTGCCCACTGGGGGCTGCCCATCGCTCAGGAGGAGCGCGAGACGCCGATCAAGGTGGGCTGTTTCGACGATGCCGTGCTGTGGGGCGTTCTAGACCTTCCGCGTTCTCCGTGGTTGTCTGGGACAGCCCCTCTGGAGTCTCGACTGCCCGCGCGTGCTGGGGGCCGTCGACCAGGCGTCGAGGCTGATCGGGGTCGACGTCGTGTCGTGCCATCCCAGGTGCTCGGCCAGCTCGGAGAAGTTCAGGAGCGCGCGGGTGCTGCGGTGGATTCAGAAGCGAGGCCAGTTGGCTTCGACGAGGAGCATGGCGCGGTGCGAGAAGCATGGCCGCCTCGTCTTGCAGGTGCTGGTTCATGGCAGCGAAGCACGCGTCGCGGCGAGCGCGCTCGGGATCAAGGCCGTCGCCTGGCCGCCGCCGCCGCGATGAAGGGCTTTTCCCTGGGCTTGTTTTCGGGCCGCGGCGGGGTGGCCGGGGACGTCCGTGCTGAGAGCATCAGGGCTGTTGGGTGGGATGTCAGATTCGGTCAGTCGTTCAATCTTGCAACGCAAAGCATGTTTGGCGTAAATAGCAGACCTGGAATGGTGACGTGTTGGGCGCCTGTCTTGCTCGGCCGTGCGCCGGCCTCTCCATCGCGGGGGCTGCGCGCTCGTGATTCTCGATCGTTGGAATCTGCGGCCCCCCCCAAAGCTTCCCGCTCATGGCCGGGGGGGGGGTCGAGGGAGACGTTGGCATGTGCGCCGCCCGAGAAACCACTCGGTGCCATGATTTCTTTTTCGCGCCCTGGGCGTGGGAACATCAGCTGTCCACTGGATTGCGGATCGCTCCCCGAGCCCAAATTATAAAGCACCTTTCCAAACCCGGGTTGGCGCGCCCAATTCTCGCGTTCGCTGAATCGCATTTTTTTTTTTTTTTTTTTTTTTTTTTGTATATCGGTGGCCCGCCAGCGGATGAGGGCCCGTTCTCTTTTCGGAAATGCGCGCGCCGAAGATTTGGGCAAGTTCGCAGCCGTGCGATGTCAGCGCCAGCGAGGCATGTGCTCTCGCGCGAGTCAACTTCACCTGCGGTTTACGGGGGGTGGGGGGGCGAGGCGGCCGGAGATGGGCGCCCGTCGCCCAGTCCTGCCCCCCCCGCCAAAAACAAATGAATAGGCTGGTCGCTCGGAACGATCCATGTCGTCGAATAGCTCGGTGTTGAGGGTTCTGGTTTTTCAGAGATGTCAGTCCTGGGCGCCGTAGAGGCCCGGAGACTCACGCCGTAGTCTAGACAGCGTCGCTATCAAGTTGAACGGGTTTCCCGTCCAGACAAATATGCCCGGTGGTGTATGTGCGTGCGCGGATTTAAATAGGCTTAGTCTCGACACGTTGCCACTGGTATTTTTCCGTCCCATCACTGTTAATGTTTACGTTTCTCGCAGTCCAATTGCCATTCCGTCATGCACAATGCCCCGCTTTTTACGTTTTCGGCGCCCCAATTGTGCCTGAAACGGGTTCTGATTTGTAGCAGATTTTCGCTTCTTTGCGCAAGAAAATACCCCAGGGATTCACTCTGCAGTCCAGACAGCGTCGCTATCATATTAGACAAGTGTCCCAGCCAGAACAAGACACCCAGAAATAAGGATGCTGATGGTGGTGATCAAAATGACGTCAGCGATGGTGATGGTGACAACGGCGGTGATGACATGGATGATTTTGATGTTTCTTCTGCTGCTGATGATGATCATGATCACCATGATGGCGATGGCGGTCATGAACATGATGATCGTGGTGGTGCAATTGTTGATGATGCTGGTGGTGACGTCGATGATTCCCCGATCAGTACTTGCACTGAAGGGGTCCTAGCGGAGGTTGAAGGATTTGGCGAACATTTCCCGCCGATTTTGGTCGCGCGCTGGGTTCCCGGGTTTCCGGTTCCTGGTTCGGGGTTCCCGGTTCCCCGGCCAATTTCGGTGGGCGGCGAGGTTCTTAAATTCCCGGATTCTTGGTCGATCTTTTTATCGATTGGTCTCAGCATCGATCTCATTTCCCATTTCTCTATCGATCACCATCGATCTCACAATCGATCTCACAATCGATCTCGCCAGCGATTTCACCAGAGTTCGCACGAGCGATCTCGCGATCGATCTCCTTATCGATCTCATTGAATCGATTTCACTCTCGGTCTCACGATCGACCCTACAATCGTCCTCTATCGATTCCACTATCGATCTCATGATTGATCTCACAATCGATCTCTGGATCCAGATGCCTAATTTACAAGCCATCCACTGATTGGGTTTTCTCAGGTGTAATGATTACGTTGATGATGATGATGATGATGATGATGAGGATGGTGGTGGTGGTGGAGTTGATGATGATGATGATGATGCTGATGCTGATGGTGATGATGACGATGGTGAGGTTATCGTGGATGATGATGATGATAGTTGTGAAGCCGATGCTGGTGCCGATTCTGATGATGTTGACGCTGATGAGGATGATGATTGTGATGCTGATGATGATGTTGATGATGGTGATGGCAATGAGGGAAGGGGGAAAAAGGAATATGCGAAGAGCAACGCGCAGTAGGATGGTGAGTGAGGAGGAGGACGGAGGACTTTGACGATTGCAATGATGACAGATGATGATGATGATGATGATGACGATGATGATGACGATGATGCTAATGATGATGGCGATGATCATGATGATGATGACGACGATGATGATACTGATAACGATGGTGTCGATGATGATGATGATGATGATGATGATGATGATGATGATGATGGTGGTGGTCATGATGATGACGTTGATGATGGTGATGATGATGATGACGATGCTGCTGCTGATGATGATGATGATGGTGGTGGTGATGGTGATGGTGATGGTGATGGTGATGATGATGATGATGATGATGATGATGATGATGATGATGATGATGATGATGATGATGACGATGATGTTTTTGATGATACTGATGCTGGTGATGATGGTGATGATGATGCTGAGGAGGAAGAGGAGGAAGAGGAGGAGGAGGAGGAGGAGGAGGAGGAGGAGGAGGAGGAGGAGGAGGATAAGGAGGAAGAAAAACAACAAGTCGATGATGAGGAGGAGGAGCAGAAGGAAAAGGAGGAGGAGGAGGAAGAGGAGGGAAACAGCAGGAGGAGGACGTCGTCGCCGTCATCTGGGTCGGCCTTTTCGTCACCTTCGTTGTCGTCGCCGACAACGCGCAGAGGTCCCTAGAGCTCTCTTCAGGCTTCCAGAGGCGTCCAAAGGCCACACGCCCAAAAACGTTGAACCTCGATCCTCCTCTTTCTTCGTCCTCGTCGCCTCCCTCGTCGCGGTCGCCCTCATCGTCGCCGTCGCCTCCCTCGTCGCGGCTGCCGCCGCCGCCGCGTCCGCTGTCCGCCTCCGCCGTCGCTTCGGCCACCGCCGCCGCCGCCGCCGTCGCCGTCGTCGTCGTCGCCGTCGCCGTCGCCGTCGTCGTCGTCGTCGTCGTCGTCGTCGTCGTCCTCGTCGTCGCCGTCGCCGCCGCCGCCGCCGCCGCCGCCGTCGTCGTCGTCGCCGTCGTCGTCGCCGTCGCCGTCGCCGTCGCCGTCGCTTCTTCGTCGTCGCCGTCGCCGTCGCCGTCGCCGTCGTCGTCGTCGCCGTCGTCGTCGTCGTCCTCGTCGTCGCCGTCGTCGCCGTCGCCTTCGTCGTCGCCGTCTCGGCCGCCGCTCGCCGCAGGACGCCGACACGGGCGCGCTCGAGCGGGGCGGCGGCGCCGGCGAGGCGCCCGCGGCGGAGCAGAGCTACCGCTCCGACCCGTTCGAGGAGCGCCGGCGGGGAGTCTGCGGAGCCCTCGGGCCACGGCCCAGCCAGCAGGGCAATGAGTCGGTGGCGAGCGAGGTGGGGTCCGAGGTTCGGTGGCGAGCGAGGTGGGGCAAGGGTTCGGTGGCGAGCGAGGTGCGGGGTCCGAGGTTCGAGGGTCGAGGTTTTCGGGCGCTTCCAGTCGGTTCTCGGCGGTATTCTGGCCTCGGGATGCTTGGCAGCAGCTGCGCGTCGCCGAGGGCGATGCGGGGGTGCCCGGATCGTCCCGAACGGCCGCCAGAGACCCGAGCTATGACCCGAAAAACCAAATTCGGCGGCGCGCCCGGGGGGGGGAGTGAGAATGAGAAGGCTTTCTCAGAAGGCGGCGTGACTTCTCAGAAGCCCTCGCGCCTTCTGAGGAGTATTGTGTGTCTTCGGGGAAAGCTTCGGAGACTTCTCTGAAGGCCGGGAGATTTTTTGAGCCTTTGAGAAGGCCCGCCCCTTCTCATTTCCCCCCAGGCGCGCTGCCTACCCATGTTTTCTTACGTCTGCCTGTGAATGCACAGGACATTGCCTCGCTTTTTTGTGCATCCTCGGCGGTTTTCCAGCCGCGGGGTGCTGTCCAGCAGTTGCGCCTCGCCAAGAGCGTTTTGTGGGTGCCAGGATTATCCCGAGAGGCTGCTGGAGGCTTGAGTTATGTTCGAAAGCCACCAGGAATTGGGATAGATTCAGGGGGATGCATCGAGCCCCATTCGCCCACTCATGCTAGCTAGCAAGATAGCCCGTTCCTCCCAAGAACGTGCGATTTTGCGATCGGGGGCCCATCGCCGATCGAATGGCGATGTATAGGCGATTCCAGCTCGAGGTTCCCCTCCGTGAGCCAGAAACCTCCAACGTCCCCCCTCAATCGAGGGTTGGCGAGCGCGAGGGCCGAGTGGCACTTTTTGGCCTCCGAGAGGGCTCCTCTCGTGGCCACGGCCAGATCCCCTTCGAAGTTCTTGCTAGGACGTGCCCCGTGGGGTCCATTTCGACCCGATCGATCGGGCTTGATATCGATTCCAGCGGGCCTGATCCGACTCGATTCCGATATTCCGGCGGCCCGATGCGGCCCGATGCTCGCACGGATTCCGTCTCGGTGCTGCTGCGGTCCGATTCGTTCTCTGTTTCGATCCGATCCGATTCGACCGCTCCTGTCCTGGAACAGGTTCAGGGTATTCGTTTTCGGTAGCAAGTCATAGGAGCATGGTGTACCCTGTTAGTTCCATCTTTAGCGTCGATTAGCGTCGATTAGCGTCTGGGAGTCGATGGGATAACGCCGATCCAGCGTCGATTAGCGTCGATGAGCGTCGGTTAGCGTCGATGTAGCGTCGATTCAGCGCCGGTTTAGCGTCGACCAGCGGCGATGAGCGTCGACTCGCAGGGGCCGACGAGATGGTCTGGGAGGCTCCCACGAGTTGCCACCGAATTCTGTTGGCCCCGGGCCCGGACCAATATTTTTCTCGGGGGCGCCAGACATGCACCCACCCAGAGATCCTATGTCGTGATTTTTTCAATGCGGGGTCCCCAGAAGTCCCGACCCATTCCCCAGGGCCGGTTAGGGCCCGGCGAGGGCCCCCAGAGGCCAAAAAATTAGAAAAACCTCCGTCTTGATTTTTTCAATGCGTTGGATCTCTGGGCAGCATTAAGTCGGGCCTGTCCCTCTACAGGGGGGATATTCAAAAATAGTAAAAAATAGTCTGGGGACTATTTTTGGAGTATTTTTTGGCGTCTTTGGAATATTTTTGGAGTACCGGGCCCGGGTGCCCGGATGACCGGGTGCCCGGGGGTGCCCGGGTGCCCGGGGGTGCCCAGTAGCCCCGTAGCCCAATAGCCCAGTAGCCCTATAGCCCTATAGCCCTGTAGCCCTACAGCCGTATAGCACTATGGCCCCTATAGCCCTAGAGCCTGGGAGCCCTATAGCTCTAGAGCCCTATAGCCCTATAGCCCTATAGCTCTATAGCCCTATAGCCCTATAGCCCTAAGGTTCCATAGCCCCTATAGCCCAATAGCCCAATAGCCCTATATCACTATACCCCTATAGCCATATAGCCCATATAGCCCCATTGCCCCAACAATAATCTGATTGGGGTTTTTCTCCAGTATCATTGAAGCATTGTTGGGCGTCTTTTGAGTATTTTTTTGAGTGTTTTTATTTTTTCGTCCAAAATCCCCCTGTAGGGGGACAGGCCCGACCTAAGGGCAGCACCGAGTTCGGCGGGGCCGGCCCTCTTGGCCGGGGCTTGGCGCACGCGCGTCTCCCTGGCCCCCGCCCGGGCGCGCGTGCACGCCGACCCCGGGGCCCAGACGGGCCCGCCCAGGGTCGGCGTCGTCGGCGTCGTCGTCGGCGTCGTCGTCGTCGCCGTCGCCGTCGTCGCCGGGCGTTCGGCGGCATGCAGGAGGGGGGGCAGGGTGAGGGTTAAGTCGGGCCTGTCCCTCTACAGGGAGAATATTCAAAAATATTCAAACCGTCTGGGGACTATTTCTGACCATCTTTGAGCACTTTTTTAGGGCATTTTCTTGGGAACCTCTAGTTTTTCGTTCCAGTTCGGCCGGCCCGACGTAAGGTGAGGGTGACTCCACAGGGGGCCTCCTTGCTCCTCCCCCGCGCCGCCCCCGAGCCCTAACCCCAGACCCCCGACGTCGTGATTTTTTCATGACGTCGACCCCCAGAGGTCTGGACCCTTTCCCCGGGACCGGTTTTTCATCCTGAGTCGTTTTTTGACGCTCCCGCGGCCCGGTGAGGACCTCCGGAGGGCGAAAATAGAGAAAAACCTTCCGTCGTGATTTTTTCACGACGCGAGGGGTCTGGGACGCCTGCCGACCACGCGGGCGCGCGGCGCCAGCCCGGGGGCCGACGGCCAGAGAGGGCCCTCGGCCCCGTGGCTGCTCGCCTCCCTTTCTCGGGGTCTCTCCCCGGAGGGCCCTCGCGGCCGCGCCCGGGGCGCGGCGCGGAGAGGCGGTCAGGGTGCGCTCTTCCTCGGGGGTGGACAGATCTCCAAAAATACCCCAAAATGTTCAAAGAATATTCAAAACATGTTCCTGAATATTCCCCCGACTATTTTTGATTGTTTTTGAATCTGCCTCCTGTAGAGGGACAGGCCCGACTTAATCCTGCCCTGACACGTCGATTAGCGAATTGGCCGTTTTCGGTTCGCGGGAGGGCGTCGCGGCCGTGATTTTTGCGGGTCCAGGTCCGTCGGTTTCGGTCCCAGGCCGATTTTATTCAAGGGAGGTTTACTAAAAGGAGGTTTGTCCACCGCCGACTACCACGGGGGAGGTCCGCGCCACGGTTTCTGCAAGTGGAGGGGGAGCCTGGGCGAGGGACGGGTCAAGGGAGGAAAAACCGCCCGGACCAGACAGTTGGCGTTTATGAAACGGCCCGGGGCGTTTACTAAACAGCCCGGCTCTGTTTGATTCCTTTTTTGGGTGCGTTTGCTCAACGGCTTCGCGTGTCGGGGTGGTTATTTTCGGGGTGGATTTTCTTCCCTCTACGGGGGCTCATGCGCCCGATTTTACTTTTCGCTTGCCAGCGGCGCAACCTCGAGTTTGCCGACGCGTCCTTCGGATGTATGGCTTGTGCTTGCTTGCTTGCTTGCTTGCATGCTTGCTTGCATGCTTGCTTGCTTGGACGAGGAAAGGGGGGCAGAGGGTACCCTCGGTGATCTTATGGCTTGGGGGTGTTTTGGCCGGCGGAGGGTCTCATGTTTTTGAAGGATGCTCTTCGGTCCTAGGTCCGGCCATATCTACGAGCAGCCATGCGCAGCGGGGGTAGGGGGAGCACTTCTGCTTCTTGTTTGGAAGGCGCGGGCCTTGTCTATACCTGTCACGGCGCCCACATCGCAGAGCGGATTTCGTTCGGAAAACGATAGGATGGGCCTGGAGTCCTGGAGAATTTCGTTCCGGATTTCGAGGTGAATTTCGTGCGGATCTTTTGGCCAGGAACGAAGACTAAAACAATCCACGCGAAATTCATTTCGTTTTCCGCTCGCCGTTTCGGGCAAACATCCGCGCAGAAATCCACGCAGAACTCTGCTGCAGCACGTCTGCAAGGCCGGTGCAGTATACCTGTAAGGCCGGCGCCGTCCCCCCGACCCCTCACCCCCTGTGTGCGCGCCGCCAGCACAAGGTTCAACGACAGAGAACTCGGTGGGAGACGTGAGGGCTCTCCGCTCGGGCGAAGAGAATTATGCACATGCACCGATCCCGGCAAGGCCCATCTTTGACCCAGGATCGGTGCATATGCCTTCCTGGCCAAGGTAGGAGGGCGTGTGCACCGATCCTGGGCTCAGGATGGGCCTGGCCAGAATCGGTGCATGTGCATCGTTCTCTTTCCTCTAGACGTGAGGGCTCTCCGCGGGATGCCCGCTGCACCGCGGTGGATGTCGTCCTTGCTCGGGGCACCGCCGCAGAGACGAGGAGCGACCAGCTGGTCTTGATCGCCCTTGGCCTCTGGGTTGCCTGCCTGACTGCTCCTTTTGGGTCCCCAGGCCTTCTCGGGTGCAGCCAGGACCCCGGTTGTGGTGAGCCGGTCAGTGATTGGGCCCCGAAGCCCCAAATATGGACTGGAATCACCGAACCAGGTCTGCCGTAGCTGGTGTTTTTCGGGCGACGGCAGATCCGTTTAGTGGAACGGGGCGGGGCGGGGGGGGGGGGGCGTCCCCTGGTACGCATCACTAAACCAGGTCCCACTAAACCAGTCTTGCCAACGCCCGACCCTCGGGCGGGACCGTCCTGTTCTTGATTGCCGGAAAGAGCTTCGAGCACCAAGAAAGTACCAACACTTGAAGGTTTTCACGTGTCGGGCCCTGGGAGGCGACACTCGTTCGACAACGTATCGACATTTTTCTGGGTGCTCGGAAGTGTTTCGGGGATGTGGTCCTCAAGTACGATGGGAGCAACATACCCCCAGGACCCTCGGGCGGGACCGTCCTGGTCTGGAGAGTGCCACAGTGATGGAGCGCACAGTCGCGAGCGGCGAGCTTGGGCCGGGCCCCGTCAAACCCGGGGCGCCTTCCCGTGCTCCCCGTGTGTGCGAACCTTCGCGCGCCGCGTGCCCCTCCAGAAGAGTCTCGTGCCCTCTCGGGAGTTTCCCGCCTTCGGTTGCACGCCTGTGGCTGCGGTAATTTGGTCAACCCGTATTAGGGCTTGTGGGCACGCGCATTTTGCCTTTGTGTATGTATGTATGTTATACATATAACGGGGGACCAGGTCTGGGGGCCGGGGGCCGGGACCCCGACCACAAATGTGGGGCCTGGGGCCCGGGCCCGCCTCTGGGAGGCTTAAGATCGCCACGGGGAGCCCTCAGACAGCAATCCCGGCGGCCACAGGCGGTCTCGAGACACCCCCAAGACGACGTCCAGGGGTCTCCGTCGACGCACGATGCGTTTAAATTGCCCCGGAGGCCCCCAAGACGCCCCAAGAGGCCTTCAAAATGCCGCCGAAGAGCGCCCCGAGAGGGGCAAAATCGTTGATTTTCATTGTTTTTTTTCAATGTTTTTTTTTTTTTTTTTGCATTCTCGCTGTTTCGTGTTTCCGGCGCTAAAGCACCGCCCAAGAGGCTCTCCAAACCGCGCCAAGACGGCCCAAGAGGCCCCCCAAAGGGCCCCAAGACGGCCCGAGAGAGCCCTGAGACGGCCCCAGAGCCGCCCAAGACGGCGCAAGAGGGTCCCAAGAATGCCCCAAGAGGGGCCCAGGAGAGGGAACGCGAACTGAAAACTCAAGCTCTCCGCCCCAAGATGCCCCCAAGAGGCCCCAAGATGCCCCCAGGAAGCCCCCAAGAGGCCCCAAGAGGCCCCCAAGAGGCCCCCAAGAAAGAGGCCCCAAGAGGCCCCCAAGAAGCCCAAAAGAGGCTCCAACATGCCCCAAGACGGCACCCAAAAGGCTTCAAAACTCCTCCTGAGAGGCCCCCGAAGACATGCCAAGAAGGTCCCATGACGACTTCAAGAAGCAGTCCAGGATGCTCCGAGGAGGCCCCAAGAAGCTAGCTAGAACTTGAGCGCGCGCGAAGCGCGCGCGATGGTTCTAGTGTGTATATGTATGTATGTATGTCTGTCTGTCTGTCTGTCTGTCTGTCTGTCTGTCTGTGTGTCTGTCTGTCTGTCTGTCTGTCTGTCTGTCTGTCTGTCTGTCTGCATGCATGCATGCATGCATGCATGCATGCATGTATGTATGTATGTATTCATGTATGTATGTATGTATGTATGTATGTATGTATGTATGCATGCATGCATGCATGCATGCATGCATGCATGCATGTATGTATGTATGTATGTATGTATGTATGTATGTACATATAACGGCGCACCGGGTCCGGGGGCCCGGGGCCGGGACCTCGACCACAAATGTGGGCCCCGGGGGGCCCGGAGGCTCGTCGGGGCTTGCCGGAGGCCTCCCCGGTCAGACAAGACGGCCCCAGAAGCGCCCAAGACGGCCCAAGAAACTTCCAAGAGGCCTCCAAGAGGGCTCCGAGATGCTGAAGATGGCCTCCAGACGTCCAAGGACGCCCCCAAGAGGCCCCAAGAAGCCTCCAACATGCGTCCCAAGAGGGCCCCTAGACGCAAAAATTGGCCCATTCCCTTCGTAAAACGTACATTTTCAACAAAGTTGTCTTTTGGGCTTTCCGACGTTACAGGACGGCCCAAGAGGCGCCCAAGACCGCCCCAAGACGGCCCAAGAAGCTTCCAAGAGGGCCCCAGGACAGCCCAAGAGGGCCCCAAGACGGCCCAAGAGGCGCCCAAGATGGCCCAAGAGGGCCCCAAGACGGGCCCAAGAGGGGGCCCAGAGGGGGACCACGAACCGCAAGCTCGAGCCTTCCGCCCCAAGAGGCCGCCAGGAGGCCCCCAGGAGGCCCCTCAAGAGGCCCCAGGAGACCCCCAAGAGGCCCAAAGGAGGCCCCGAGAAGCCCCAAATCGGCCCCCACAATGCTTCGAACCTGCTTCCAGGAGGCCCCCGACAGGTTCAGAGGCTCCCAAGAAGCTACGTCAAACTCCCAGCGAGCGGCCGGACGAGGCCCCCAAAAAATCCCAAGAGGGTTCCAGTATTTGTATCCTTCAGCGCTCTCTGGCCTTCTTCCCCCTGCCCCCTTCCCTGCGACTTTCGTTGACTCAAGCTCGCCTCCTCTCCATTTCCTCTCTCTGCCTCTCTCTCTCTCTCTGTCTTCTTCTCTCTCTCTCTCTCTCCATCTCTCTCTCTCTCTCTCCTTCGCTCTCTGTCTGTCTGTCTCTCTCTCTCTCCCTCTCTTTCTCTCTCTTTCTCTTTCTTCCTTTCAGATTCCGTGTCCTTGCGACCTTCTGCAGTCCCCGACGTCGCCACGGCTGGATCCGCTCGAGCGTGTCTTGTGATGTGCGGCGGTGCGAAGCCCGTCCCACTGATCAAGGCACAGGTACGAAATGATGGGTCCATCATTTCTTGCCTTCCCATGTGCGTTTTCCCAATCGATTCCTGGGCCCGAGGTCGCAAAAATTACGACGTCGGAGGTCTGGGGAGGCGGGAAGCACGACCTGGACCTCCGACGTCTTGGAAAAATCACGACGGCGGTTTCGGTCAATTTTCGGCCTCCGGGGCCCCTCGCAGGGTCCCGGGACCGTCAGAAAACGACTCAGGATGAAAAAAAAAACATCCCCAGGAAGTCGTCGAGAGGTCCAGGGGCCGCGCACAGAAAGCATCACGACATCGGACGTCCAGAGAGGAGGTAGGAACACGAGGAGGAGGGAGCCCAGACCTCCTGGCGACGCAACACCAAAGACAACAAAAGCTTCCCGCGACTTCCCCCAGAGACTCTAACTACAGAAACTCCTTTCGTATTCCGGCCAGAAGCATCCAGAAACGATGTACATTAGCCCTGGCGGGGGGAATGATGGCGATGGTGATGTTCATGATGACGACGGTGACGATCTTAGCTAGAACCTAAGCGCGCGCGAAGCGCGCGCGTGGTTCTAGTATATATATATAGATGTGTATATATACATGTGTCAGAGGGCCTTCAAGAGGGAGGGGCGGGGGCGAGCGAGGGTGGTTAGGGGCTGGCCCGTCTTCGGTTGCGCACATTATGCACAGCAGCGACGACGACGGCAACGATTGTAAACTAATGGTTGCGAATTGCTACAAACCAACAAGGATGGGATGCATTGGAAGAGAAATTTGTTATTTACCACAACACCGACCTCCAGCTCTGACCAGGCCCCGGCCCGCACGCCGCGCCCTTGCAGGGCCGTTCCCCCGTCGGGACGCACGCTGGCGCCTCGCCACGCCTCGCCTCGCCTCCTCGCCTCGTCTTCGGTTGCAGCTGTATTTGGAACCAGGCGTTCGATCGTGAACCCCTTGTTGAACGCAGCCATCCAGCTTTCGCGCCGAAGACCACCAGAAGCCGCCGAACACCGCCAGAAACTGCCGAAGACCGCCGAAGACCGCCAGAAGACCGCCGAAGACCGCCCAGGGCCGGTGGGTAACGAGACACGGGGTCCATGGTCGAGTGCGCAAAGAAAAGAGCGGCTTGCCATATCAAATCAGACCGAGGAGCGGAATGAGTGCACCGTCTACATTGGGAACACGTGCGGCGTCGATGACGAGGTGCTGTGGGACGTCCTGCTTCAGGCTCTGGTGAGCCTGTCGTCGTACCAGCAAGTCTATCCTCCAAACGGCCCAGGACCAATCGTGTATATGCGGTGTGGTTTCGGGGGGGGCACCTATGCGTTCGCCCATCTGCGAGACCCTGTACTGGCAAGCACAGCGGTCGCCCTCTCTTCGCTGCCAGTAGCGGGGAAGCGAGTCTACGTGGAGCGCCCAGCAAAGGAGTGGCAGCCGTCGGATGGCATGATCGCCCCTCCGCTCGAGATCGGCCAGGGCGGGCAGCAGGGGGACGTCCAACCACCACCGCAGAAGAAGCTCAAGGTGCCCACATGTGGGGAAGGCCCTCAAAGAACTTGCGAGGGTATGCTGTACAGCTCGAAGAAGAAACCGGGCATAGACATAGACTCTCGGAGGTCCTCGCGGAATTCTTGGGTCGGCGCTGGACCCCATGGTGGCGCCTCTGGCGCCGCCCTTGGGAAACTTCGCGCGCCAAGGAGCCAAGGAGGGGGGGGTCCAGCGTGGGCCCAAGAAACTTGCGCGAATCTCCGAAAGTTTATGATCGTGCAGTTTTCTGTTCTTCTGACATCACCAACCTGGAGAAGTGGGGTACTAGCATATCCGAGGCGAGACAGGATCTCGACGACTTCTTGAACGAGGCCGTTTTCGCGAAGATTCCAGATTTTGATCTAGAGGCTGGCCCGCCCCTGAGGAAGTGCACGCTGCATCGCAGTGGCAACTACGCTTACCTGCAGGTCCGGGATATCACGGACGAGCAGTTCACTCAGAGGTTGATGAATATCTTCGACGGCCTCAAGTACAGGGGACGCTCCATTCAGTGCAGGCCCTGTACTATCCCGCAGGTCATAGCCACTGACTTGGAGAAGAAGGGCGCGAGCCGCAAGGAGCAGTCTGACCAGCCAGCGACAGCTTCGGCAGTCCCCTCAGTCCAAGAGGATACCCAGGGTGGCACAGCGGATGCACCCAGAACAACGGAAGCGGCAGCTGCGAGGTTTGAGGAGCAAGTTGAGAAGGACGGCAGTATACCAATGGAAGTTGTACATTGCAAATCTGATGTGTGCATCGGGGAGCAGGCAGACGTGGATGACGCCAGAACAACGGACGTGGTAGACACGAGGATTGATGAGCAAGCTGAGGTGGACGATGCCATAACAACGGAAGTTCTACATCGCAAACCTGACCTCAGCATCGAGGAGCAGGCAATGGTGAATGACGCTGTGACAACGGAATCGGTAGACTGCACACCTAGAGCGAGAGTTGAGGACGATCCTACTTAGGGCTGATGATGAGTGAGGGGGCCCAGTATGCTAGCTGGTTGCAAGCTTCACTGGGAGCGCAGTTCACATGAATAGTTGGCTTTGGGAAGTTCGAGGTCTTCACTGTCAAATTCAGCTCGGGATGTTTGTGCTAGCTAGGGCATTCGTGCCAATATCTGTCTGCAGCTATGCGTTTTGGTGGGGACCAATGCGTACAACTTGCAGGACACAGATGCGCAGGCGAAGGAACCATCGTCGTTGCCACTGCCCTCGCCGCCGTTGCCATCGTCGCCATTGTCATCATCGTCGCCATTGCCTTCATTGGTTTCAGTGAATAGTAGGCCACATCATTCCACATAGTGGCTCCCAGAGGGCATCAACATCCCCATCATGGCTTTAGAGAGTCCCCGCAGGCCCTCAGATCTAGCAGCACCATGCCCAGCAGCAGCCATGAACGCCTAGCAGCAGCAAGTAGCAGAGGAAGCAACAGCAGGCAACAGCAGCATCGAGAAGCAGGGCAAGCAGCTGCCGCCTGCAGCAGCGCAGATGGGACAGGTAGCAGCACCAAGCACCGGCCGTGAGCATGAACAGCACCCGCAGCACCCGTCTGAAACACAAACCCGCAGTGACCAGCAGTGCGCACCAGCAAGCTCCATGCACTGGCGGTGTGAAACAGTAAGACGTTTAACGTATTAGCACGCACTACGACGCAGCAGCAAGCGCTGGCAAGCGGCTGCGTGCATCGCCGGCTGCAGGGCTGGGGTCAACGCATCTGAGATGAGGGCGGCTAGTGGCAACAGGTGCTGTGCATGCTCAGGAACGTGCGCTCGGGAGAATTGGACGCCAGCTTCGCTGTCGAAATGCTCATAGCCATCGTGTGGTGTGTCACAGGGCTCTCCCAAGCGCATGTGAATATTCAGGAGGGGAAGCACAATTAATCGTCGCCTCCCAGGAAAATATGGGAAAGTATGGAAAGTGGAGGGGGGACGAAAACCCAGAACATATGGGAAACCATGGGGAATCCTGGGATTTGTGCCTATTTATTTGTGTGTCCCTTGGTCCCTTTATATGATATATGACAAACCTGTTCGGCTCCTGGCCTGGCGAGGGCGCTGGTTGGCGCTCCCTCGAGGCCCGACCCCGGCACGGAGAACACGAGCCCTCGAAGAGTGTTCGAGCTGTCGTGTGGGCCCTCGGCAAGCCTCCATCCCAGGCCCGCAAACGGTTTCCAAGCACGCTGCGCATCGCGGCGTGGGGCTTCGATGCCAGCTTTGGTTTCCTTTCATGCCCTCCGTTTTATAGCTAAGTCCCTCCACAGGAGGAACGTTCAAAAATAGGTAAAAATCGGATGGCGACGATTTTTCTTTTTATTTTGTGGACTATTTCTGAATATTTTTCCCCACATCCTAAGTGGGGTTCTTGTTTTCTCTGCACACCCTCCGCGCAGGATCTCTCGTCCTCCTCCCTCTCCTCTGCTCCTCTTTGCTTCCTCCTCCGCATCATCATCACCATCACCATCACTCCCCATCATCATCATCATCATCACCATCAGCATCACCATCACCATCGCACATCATCATCATCATCATCATCATCATCATCATCATCATCATCATCATCATCATCACTACTCGCTGACTCACCACTTCGTCCCCATCATCATCACCACCATTTACCATCATAATCGCACGATCACTCACCATCAGCACTCATCATCACCACCATCATCATCATCACGTCGTCATCATCACCACCACCACCACCATCATCATCATCATCATCATCATCATCATCATCATCATCATCATCACCATCACCATCACCACATCATCATCATCATCATCATCATCATCATCATCATCATCATCATCATCATCATCATCATCATCATCATCATCATCATCACCACATCATCATCATCATCATCATCATCATCATCATCATCATCATCATCATCATCATCATCATCATCATCATCATCATCATCATCATCATCATCATCATCATCATCATCATCATCATCATCATCATCATCATCATCATCATCATCATCATCATCATCATCATCATCATCATCATCATCATCATCATCATCATCATCATCATCATCATCATCATCATCATCATCATCATCATCATCATCATCATCAATCATATATCATCATCAAACACCGTCGTCATCATCCCATCACCATCATCCACCAAGGGGGAGCCTCGTCTGTGAGTGAATTGTGAGGAAGTCTCAGGCGGGAGCCCCCTCCCTATGGGGCCCGCAGATCATGTTACTAATCCGAGCGGGTCATCGGATTCCTGTAACCGTCGTCACTTTTGGGCTCCTCAGGTCTGAATTTGGAGGAAGTATCAAGCGGGAGCCTCGTCTGTGAGTGAATTGCGAGGAGGTCTCAGGCGGGAGCCCCCTCCTTATGGGGCCCGCAGATCATGTTATTAATCCGAGCGGGTCATCGGATTCCTGTAACTGTCGCCACTTTTGGGCTCCTCAGGTCTGAATTTGGAGGAAGTATCAAGCGGGAGCCTCGTCTGTGAGTGAATTGCGAGGAAGTCTCAGGCGGGAGCCCCCTCTCTATGGGGCCCGCAGATCATGGTATTAATCCGAGCGGGTCATCGGATTCCTGTAACTGTCGTCACTTTTGGGCTCCTCAGGTCTGAATTTGGAGGAAGTATCAAGCGGGAGCCTCGTCTGTGAGTGAATTGTGAAGCCTCAGGCGGGAGCCCCCTCCCTCTGGGGCCCGCAGATCATGTTACTAATCCGAGCGGGTCATCGGATTCCTGTAACTGTTGTCACTTTTGGGCTCCTCAGGTCTGAATTTGGAGGAAGTATCAAGCGGGACCCTCGTCTGTGACTGAATTGCGAGGAAGCCTCAGGCGGGAGCCCCCTCCCTATGGGGCCCGCAGATCATGTTACTAATCCGAGCGGGTCATCGGATTCTTGTAACTGTCGTCACTTTTGGGCTCCTCAGGTCTGAATTTGGAAGAAGTATCAAGCGGGACCCTCGTCTGTGAGTGAATTGTGAGGACGCGTCAGGCGGGAGCCCCCTCCCTATGGGGCCCGCAGATCATGTTATTAATCCGAGCGGGTCATCGGATTCTTGTCGTCGTCATCAGGATTCTTGAATTTGGAGGAAATATCAAGCGGGAGCCTCGTCTGTGAGTGAATTGTGAGGAAGCCTCAGGCGGGAGCCCCCTCCCTCTGGGGCCCGCAGATCATGTTATTAATCCGAGCGGGTCATCGGATTCTTGTAACTGTCGTCACTTTTGGGCTCCTCAGGTCCTTATAGATCACCCAAGGAAGGGCTACCCTAGGGCTAACCCTAGGCCTACCCCTAGGGCTACCCTAGGGCTACCCCTAGGGCCTACCCCTAGGGCTACCCTAGGGCTACCCTAGGGCCTACCCCTAGGGCTACCCTGGGGCTACCCCTAGGGCCTACCCCTAGGGCTACCCTAGGGCTACCCCTAGGGCCTACCCCTAGGGCTACCCTAGGGCTACCCTAGGGCTACCCTAGGGCCTACCCCTAGGGCTACCCTAGGGCTACCTCTGGGGCCTACCCCTAGGGGTACCCTAGGGCTACCCTAGGGTGTCCAGTAGGGCCTATCCTTGGGAAGCCTAGGGCCTTCAGTATGTGTAATCCGCCACACAAGCAAGCAATGCCTTTAATGTCCCGCCCGCCCGCCCGACAAAAGGATTCAGCTTGTAATCCGCCATAATAGTAATCAACTTGCAATCCGCTGCCAAATGGAATCACTTTGTAATCCGCCACGAAAGCAATCAATGCATTTAATGTCCCGCCCGCCCGCCCGACCAAAGGAATAAGTTTGCAATCCGCTGCCAAAGGGAATCCATGTGTAATTCACCACACAAGCAATTATTGCCTTCAATGTCCCGCCCGCCCGCCCGGCAAAAGGCGCCCGACCAAAGGAATAAGTTGAAAATCCGCTGCCAAAGGGAATCCATTCGCAATTCACCAAACAAGCAATCATTGCCTTTAATGTCCCGCCCGCCCGCCAGACAAAAGGAATCAATGTGTAATCTGCCACAATAAGAATCAGTTTGCCATCCGCCACACAAGCAATCAATGCCTTTAATGTCCCGCCCGCCCGCCCGACAAAAGGAATCAGCTTGTAATCCGCCACAAATGGAATCTACTCGTAATCCGGTACCAACGGGAAGCAATTGGTAATCCACCACACAAGCAAGCAATCAATGCCTTTAATGTCCCGCCCGCCCGCCCGACTAAAGGCATCAACCCTAGGAAAGACCGGTGAGGGGGGGGGTGTGAGGGGGGGTCGCGGGGGGGGTCCCGGAGGGGGTCAGCAGGGGGGGTCCTGCGCGAGGGGGGGGTCTGCGAGGGGGGTCGGGGCCCAGGGGGGGTCAGCGAGGGGTCCCAGAGGGGGGGTCAGCGAGGGGGTGTCCCAGAGGGGGTCACGAGGGAGGGTCAGCGAGGGGGGGGCAGCAAGAGGGGGTCAGGCCGCGAGGGGGGTCTGCGAGGGGGGGCAGCGAGGGGGGTCCCTGTGAGGGGGTTTCCCAGAGGGGGGGTCAGCGAGGGGGGGTCCCAGAGGGGGGGTCAGCGAGGGGGGGTCCCAGAGGGGGGGTCAGCGAGGGGGGAGTCAGCGAGGGGGGGTCAGCGAGGGGGGGTCAGCGAGGGGGGGTCTGCGAGGGGGGGTCAGCGAGGGGGGGTCCCAGAGGGGGGGTCTGCGAGGGGGGGTCTGCGGCGCCGGGGCCGCGGTCGCCGGGGGGCGGCGCGGGCGCCCTGCCCTCGGAAGGGGGAGCGGGGGGGGGGAAGCAGGGGATCGAGGGAGTAGCGAGGGAGGAGGAGGAGGTGGAGGAGGAGGAGGAGGAGGAGGAGGAGGAGGAGGAGGAGGAGGAGGTGGCGGCGGAGGAGGAGGAGGCGGCGGGAGCAGGGGGGAGGCCCGCAGCTCACGTGGTTCCTCCGGGTCATCCTCCGGCGCGCGCTTCCTCTGGGTCGTCCTCCGGCGCGTATCGGCTGGGACGCACGTCGTGCGCC